CCGCTCTCCCTGCCCCATGCTCAGGCAGCCTCCCTCCCTCCTTCCTGGGGGGCTGTGGGTGCTCCCGTACCCCCGTGGGGCTGTGGGTGCAGTGTGTCCCCCCCATACACCAGCAGCAACACGACCTCCCAGCGATTTCTCCCGTAGCTGAGAGGGTGCTGATCCCACCACTTGCTGTGTGGGTTGGGGCAAACCCTTCCCTGTCTCCTGGCCTCTTGCTCTGGCCGCCCACCCAAGGGGAAGGGAGGATGCCCACATCTCCTGAGGCTCTGGGGAGAGCATAGGCATGAATAACACGACCTCCCAGCGATTCCTCCCGTAGCTGAGAGGGTGCTGATCCCACCACTTGCTGCGTGGGTTGGGGCAAACCCTTCCCTGTCTCCTGGCCTCTTGCTCTGGCTGCCCGCCCAAGGGGAAGGGAGGATGCCCACATCTCCTGAGGCTCTGGGGAGAGCACAGGCATGAATCCACCTGGTCTATGGCTGCAGCACTGCCATGTTCTGCACAGCAGCTCCTGCCCTGTCCTGTGGTGGCCCTGGCCGTGTCCCAGGGTGGCTGGTCTTGTCCCCAGTGCTGGCAGCTTGGGGTCACAGCCCCTCTCTCCACTCCCCCTCACCTGTGGGCATCCATCCTCACCCCGGTCCCTCTGTCACAGGCAACAAGTTCTCTCCCTGCCACGCCGGAGTGCTGCTGCTGTGTGTCTGGGTCTATGCCCTGATGTTTGCCACGGCCCCCCTGGCTGAGTGGGGCAGCTACGGCCCCGAGCCCTACGGGACAGCCTGCTGCATCACCTGGAAAGCCTCGAGCAGGGAGGCCACGCTCTACATCCTTGCCCTCTTCATCTTCTGCTACCTTCTCCCCTGCCTCCTCATCCTCGTCTCCTACTCGCTGATCCTCTGGACGGTGCAGGTGTCCCGGAGAGCCGTCAGGCAGCACACGTCCCCCCAGCGCAGAGCCCACAGCGTGCACAGCCTGGTCGTGAAGGTAAGGGGGGGCTCAGGGTGCCCCCCGCCCCAGCCCACCACCCCATGGGCAGGAGGAGGTGGCAGCCGGTGGTGTCTGCTGCTCCTGATGAATTCTCCAGGTGTTTGTATCCCTGTGGGTAATAACACATTTCTCCTCGTTTAAAGCCATCAGGTGGAGGAGTTTTCATTTTAAATTACATTGGAAAAGATCATAAAAAGAGCTTGCGTGAGTCATTGTTCCCCAGACTACAAGTTAATACTATAATTTACCAAGGATATGGAAAAAAAAAAAAAAAAAGGGGGAAAATTTACCAAGGAAATGGAAAAAAAAAAAAAAAAGGTGGATACCCTTTGAAAAAAAACAAACACAGAAGAAAACAGCTTGCAAGCCTGGCCTTAAAGGAAATGTTTGTGTCTGCTTAGAGGGGGGGTTCTGAGCATGGCCCATTCCCAGAGCCTCTCCCTCGGTCTGCACCCTGGCATGGAGGTTTCCAGGGGAATCTGGGCTGTTGGAGGCTGATGCTGAACTGGTCCCAGTCAGGTCACTGGGTGCTTCGTACCCATCTGCCTTGGTGGGCTGAGGCAATTCCTGAGTTTCCCAGGTGGTATGGGGTGTGAGTCACCGTGAGTGAGTGCAGGTTGATGTGCCCACGCTGGGACGTGCTGAGGTGCTGCCCTGATGTCTGACAGCCCGGTGCTCCAGCACAACAGGTCCAGAAGGATGAGCACCTTTCCCTGGGGATGTGACTGTCCAGGGCCCTGTTGCAAGTGGCAGTGGTTGTCAGCATCAGGCTGGGTTTTGGGGGGAGCCAGCAGCCAGTGTGCCACAGGAGGCTCATTGGCACCACTTCTCCATCTCCTTCTCTTCCAGCTGAGCATTGCAGTGTGCCTGGGGTTTCTGGCTGCCTGGACCCCTTATGCCATCGTTGCCCTGTGGGCAGTCCTCGGTGACGCCAGCCAGGTGCCGGCACTGGCCTTCGTGCTGTCGGCCGTCTTTGCCAAGTCCTCGACACTCTACAACCCCCTGATCTACCTGCTCTTTAAGCCCAACTTCCAGAAGTTCCTCTCCAAAGACAAGGTGCTCCTCCAGACCATCCGCACCCTCCTCTGCTGCGGCTGCCCAAGTGCCACGCTCCAGCCCTTCCCGTCCCCAGGCTTCAGTGACCACCCTGGGACTTGCAGAAACTGCAATGACACATTTGAGTGTTTCAGTAACTACCCCAAGTGCTACAAACTCCCCCAGGCACCCAGCAGCTCACCCCAGCGCGCTCCCCTGGGTATCCTGGCCGACGGAGCTGCTTGCCAGCCGGGGCTGAAGAGGACGGTGCAGGTGATGGTGCTTGTCACACGGAAAAGGTCAGGCCTGGGTGCTGTGAATGTGGCAGGAGATTCCCTGCCATCAGATATCATGAAAGACCTTCTCTGAGCCCAGCCGTGCCCGGCTGTGTCCTACCAGCGCACTGGAAGACAAACGCAAGCGCAACTTTCCTCTCACCTACGTTATCTGATGAGTTCCCAGCATGTTCTGTAGATGAAGTGACACGAAAATTTAAGACCAACCTTGCCTCCCCCTCTGGTTTGGTTCTTGTGACTCTCAGCCTAGTCTTTGCACTTAAACAAAAAAAGACCCCAGTGCCTGAAATCTGCCCAGGTTGCAAGTCCAGGGTGCAGTTTCTCCTGCAGCTTGCTCTCTGGGCTCTTGGCCTTTGTTTTTCCATCCTGGTGCTCTGATGACCAAGTAAGAACTTGGTTGTCTTAAGAAACTGTGCCTGGCAGGGGGGACTGGTGGCCAGGAGGTCCCGAGAGGCATCCTACCTCCACCACCAGCGCCCACAGCCCCCACTGACCATATCCTCTCCCACCGGGGAGCAGGACCGTGCCGCTCAGCTACCTCACTTGGGATTATGAAGCATCTTTGTATACCTCTCAAGAGCCTACTCTCTGTGCAGGCTGGGTTACCCCAAGCCCTTGGTTTGAATGCAAACCCAGCACCATCCTATAGTTTGAAATGGGAGCTTGTCTTTAGAGTAAGGATTTGGGGTTAAAATAATCCCGGTGTGAGTGATGGCAGTCCCAGGTTGTGCTTTCCAGGCAGGGAATGCAACAGCATCCCTTGGGCTTGTGGTCGGCGTTTGGAGATCGGTGTGGTCAGCTCAGCCACGGGAAGAGTCTGGGATGAAAAGGACCAAGAAGCTGTGAGAGGCAAAGCCATCCATGGAAAAGTCCCCACGTTGCCCTGTGGCAGGCTGGCAGATGTCTCCCTCCAGTGACATGCCAGCATCCCTGCGGTGAAGCTCATCTGGGGCTGAGCTGGGGGGCTCCCCATCCAACCCCCAGCACCCAGCCACTCGTGTGCCCAGCTGTGGGCACGGCGTGGAGCTGGTGAAGGGGGTGAACTCACCCCCTTTCTTGGCAGGGGGTGAATGACATGGCCAGGGTGCTGAGGGAGATTGGTTATGCCCAAAAAAATTAAAAGACACATTTGAGGTGATGAGAAGAGTCAGCAGCAGAGGTGGGAGATGGGCTGCCCTCCAGCACCCAGCTGGCCAGTTACTTGTGGGAGTGCTTTACGTTGTCACTGGTTAATGAACAAAACCACACCACGACCCATTGCCAGAGCTGCAGCATCAAATGGTGGATGTGCTGAATAGGAACAGTGAGCTGCCCTCTGTGCCCGGCGCTGGGAGCAGCCGCTGCCCCGGTGCCAGCCCTGGCTGGGCTCTGCCTGCCCGTCAGCCAGCCCTGGTTCTCCCTCCCCTCCCCGCTCTCCAGATACAGATAATGCTATTTTTAGCAGTCTCTCCCAGAACCGGGATGTATCGCTGCCTTTTCTTAGCACAGCTACAGCAGCCGCCTCACTCCGAGGACACAGAGAGCTTCATGAAAGAGGTGTGCAGGAATATGGGGGGGCAGGTTTGCTCTGGGAGGAGAAGAAGGTGGATGCTCTGGTCATTTTAGCTACAACCTTGGTACCCCTGAGCCCAGGCGTTAAAAATACTGAGTTTTTTGGCCTCAGTGTTACAGCCCAATTCTAGCATGGGTGTCACCGGGGCCAGTGTGAGCTCTGTGGTGGGCAGAGGGGCTGCTGCGTGTGGAGGGACCCAGAGAAGCAGCAGAAGGTCCTGCCCCTGCTTCCCCCTGTGTCCCATCGCTACTGGCTGCTGCTCCACTGCTCTGATCAGCACACGACAGCATGGCAGTCGTGGCACTTGCTTTTGTCCCCTGGTCATTTCCACGTAGCCGCTTTACCTAGCAGTTTTCCTGTGACGGGAGAGAGACCGATACTTCTGGGGTGCACTTATCTCCTCCCCGGGATGGCTTTGCCCACTGTGATACCCCCAGGTCCAGGCGGTTGGGGCAGGGCAGGGTTTATGCACAAGAGCCAAGTAATAACTGAAAGGCCACGTGGGGGAGCGACACTCCTGCCTTCGCTCCCTACTCCTGCTATGCAAAAAAAACCCCACCCAACCCAAAGATGTGCAATATTTGCAAAATGCTGCAAGATAACAAAGAAAAATCAGGGCAGCCAGTGAAGAGAGAGGACAGTTTCCAACGTGGGTGCAGGTCTCTAGGAGGGTCGGTCACTGATGCTCAGCCCCTTCCCCCCCCTGCAGCTCGTCCCAGGAACCCCAGCACATGAGGGGATCACAAGCACCTGGTGTCTCTGCTGATAGTCATCGTGTTCTAGAAACTGTATGTTTTCAAAGTAAATTCACTGATGCAAAGCTGGCGTTCGACTCGGTTCAGTTGTGTGTTAGCGGCCGCGCTGTGGGATGGATGGAGACAGAGCTGGGGGTGAGCGATGGCAGAGGCACGGGCCATCGGCTGGGGACACGGGGCAAGGAAACCTCTCCTTGCCCAGCAGCCGAGCCTTCCTCCAGCCGGGGTGAAGGGGTGATGGTGCGACCGGTGGCACAGGCTCTGTCACAGCTCTGTGCTGGGGTTACAGTGGCCACCGCGGCCGAGCCCCAGCTGTACCTGCTGCCCATCGCCATCCTGCGGGAGAGGAGCCCCCAGAAGGGTGGCCACGGGCTGCTTTCCCACTGGAGGACACCAACACGAAGGGCTGCTGCCATCTCCTGGGGGCTCTCAGGCCATGGCCATCCTGGGATGGTCAGGACCCAAGGATGTGACCCTGTCCGGGGTGTGATGGGCTCAGGGACATGGTGTGGTCCAGCTACCGATGCAGAATTGGGTCCCTGCTTTGCTTACCAGCCCCCCTGGCCTGCTGCTTCATTCCCTGCTAGCTAAAAAATACTGTGGTCCAGAAATCACCTAAAGGAGACAGGAAAAAAAAATAATCTGCAAATCCTCCAGGTCCTTTTTTACTCCAGGAAAACCACGGATTGGTGTCTTCATCTTTAGTTTGGTGTGAGAATATGTAACATTGGGAGCATGTAACACTGAGTATGCTTTAATCTACATTCATAGGGACACTCCTGCTGCTGGGGAGTCCAGAGAGTGGCACTGCAGCCACTTAGCAAAATCCCAATCAATGTAACTAACTGTGGCCAGGACAAGCAGCAGGTCCAGGGTCCCTCCCCAGGGCTGCCATAACTGAGATACTCCTGCCTCCCAGGCTGGACCCTTCTCTGGGGCACAGAGCACCTGGTGCCAATTTAATCAGTGTCTCCAGCTGGGAATGGTGCCATCAGCTGCCACCAATTACCTGAGGGTAAGAGGCCACCCCCCAAGGGCTGCTCTTGTGGTGGCTGCTGGTGGGTGAACTTGGGACTGTGATGAGGATGGTGGCTTCATCTCTGCAGCCTGAGGTAGGGTCTTTGGTGGCTGCTGTTGGGCAGGGTTTGGGAGGTGGCTGCTGGTTGTGAGAACTTCTTTAGCTTTGGTGGTGCTGCAGCCTGGCCCCCAGCTCTGGGCTGGGTGGGAGGGGGTGGTTGGGGGCTGCAGTGCTGCTTGGTGAGACCCCATCTTGGGGCAGGGAAGAAGCCAGGGCTGCCTTGGTGTGGGTTTGGTGCCTGGGCAGGCACACTATGGGCACTGTGATGCCCACTTGGTGCTGGCTGAGTGAGAGCACTTGTGCCTTTTACTAATGGTGACTTCATTTCGGGTGGTGTGTTGTTTGAGCCTCCCTCTTAGTTTAACAAATGGCTTCACCCAAAGGCTGTCCCTTCCTGTGTGTTCCGGGCCCTGGTGGGGCTGTGTCCTCCAGACCCCAGGAGCAACCTCTAGGGCCATGTTTCATAGTTATCATGACCAGTAAAATGTGACTTTTACATAAATGAAGCCACGAGCAAGTATCATTCTTCTGCCATTCCCTCTCTGGATAGCAGGCTTGGCTAAGGGTAGCAGCGGTTAGATTGTGTACAAACACAAACCTCTGGGCAATATGTGCCCTTGGAGTTTAATTTCTATTAACACCGATTCTGTGAACTGGCTTTTCAAGAACATCTTCACCTCAAACAAAGTGACCGATGCCTGCTGTGCTCCCCTGAGGCCACGGGGACAGGCTCTACCCTTCTGCTTGGCTTTCAGTTTGCCTGGGACAGAAAAACTCATGACAAAGGGAGGTGTCCCAGAGCCAGGGCACATCAACCCTAATGTCCCCAGGGCCTACTGTGAGCTGTGTTCCACCAAAACAGGGGGTCCCTCAGGGGTCTGAGGGCACAGCGACACACTCCAAGGTGGTAGGGAAGCTGCGTGTCCTAGGAAAGGAAAAATAGGGAATACAGTGACTGTTGAGGAAAGTCAGCAAAACTATAAGTGAATGTGAAAATCAGTCATTGATGTTAATGGTAGAAATTTCTTCCAGTGGTTCCAAGCTGTGGAGTTTAAGGTGTAGTTTGAGGAAAAATGAAGTCGTAACTCTGAGCTGTCACAAGTGCAGTGGGCACCTTCTGAAGTTTAAGTGCAGTTGCCTTTTAAATAATTCCCTCCCCCCCCCCTCTCCTCCAAATATTCCTTCAGCTTAATTGCTTCAGAGTGATTTCATTACTCCTGGCTGTGGTGGTTAATTGAATGTATAAAACCCTCCCAGCTGGTGGCTCTCGGCTGTTGTGCTGCTGTTGGCCTCCCCACCAGCAGGACTGGGAGCAGGACCAGCCTCCTCAGCAGCTCCACTCTCTGGCAGGTCCCACACAAGCTCATCCAACCCCTGTTCAGATTTAAAGTGGGAATCTCTGATGAAGATCCCATCAGCCCAAAGCACAGCTGCCCTTGGGCCACACCACTGTTTTAGGTAATGGCTGGGGCCACCCCTTGCACCCAGACCCTTGGTACCTCCAAAATGAGTGGTTGCACAAAGCTGCTGGTGCATGTTCCCCTCTGGTGTCTGTGCTCTGGCTGTGCCACCTCCTGTGGCCCTGTTCTTCTCGAAAGTTGGGCAGTCCCCTCAGCTGCAGTCTGTGCCACTGACCTTTAAAGGCAGCCCCACGGGTGGAAACCTCCTCTCTGGGGTGGGTGACCTCACCTATGGGCTGTGCAGTCGCTGGGAAAAGGTGAGGGGTGTTCAACAAGCAAAGCTCAGAGCCCTGGTCTTTCTTTCCAAAGGTTAAGCTCCTGAAAGGCAGATAATGACTATTGCCTTCTGTCCTTTTATGGCAGCTTTTAGATTAGGCTGGAGAAACAGCCCGTAGGTGCTTTAATGTTTAAAATAAATGAGTGTCTCTTGGTGTGGCTGAGTTAAAAATAGCATCTTCATCATGATGAAACCAAGGCAGGGAAAGCTGGAGGTGTTTGCTCGCGTTCGGTGAGTCACGAGCGGGCTGGGGCTGGGGTCTGGCTCTTGGGGCGACGATGGGGCTCAAAGGTAGTGCAGGTGGTGGGTGAACCAGGCTCTTTGGTGATGGTGGCTTATCAGAGACCACCACACAGCTCTCTCCGTACCCTCAGACGTGTCACCGTGGGGGACAGGAGTGGTGATGGCGTGTTGGCAGGAAGGAACTGGAGCCCCATCCTATGCTCCACCATGTCTTATGGGTGGGAGTGAGGAGCTCTCCTGGCTGAGCATCGGTGGGGGTGGTTGGGTGCTGTCCCAAGCCTGGTGGCATGATGACTGTGCTCGGTGCAGCTGTCCCAATTGGGGTGTGAGGGGGCACAGGGGTTGCCATCGGGCTGGCCAGTCTGATTGTAGTTTTAGTAGCCCCAAGAATCGGGCAGCTTGGAGGGGGCTTTGCAAAGGGGCTTTTGACTGGTGGGGAAACAGGGACATGAGCTGGCGGTGGTGACGAGGCAGAGGGGGCTTGCTGTCCTCTTGAGTGGTGAGGAAGAGGCCGTGCAGGGTGTCTGCATGGGACCTCCTGTCCCATGGTGTCCCACCCACTCTCCAGTGGCATGGTGGTGCCAGCCCACATCTCCTGGGCGAGGTGGGTGGCTGGGCCACCTCATCCCAGTGCAGGGATTGCTGCCTCCTGGTACAGGCTGTGGGGAGGGAATGGAGGGGTCTGCTCCCTGCAGTCCCCTGCTGTGTCAGAGCCGTTCCCTGGGGACCTTGCCTGGCTGTCCACTGGCTGATGGGAGGAGAACCACTGCCAAAACGGCCATTCTTGTTTCTTTTCTTGTTTTCTGCCGCATCCTGACTCAGGCAGGGCTGCTGAGCTGGGGAAATGCCTGCTCTGTGCCAGCACCCGGGCCATCTGGGGACTTTTGGTGACTCCCCTGGCTCAACACCATCCCCATGGCCACATCCCCAGCACAGGGATGGGGAACTGGGGCTGGGCTTGGCTGGGCAGTGGGAGCTGCTGGGTGCCATCACTGTTCCACACTGTGCATGGTGGGTTTGCCATCAGCAGCTGAGGCACCTTGCCATGGGCTAACACAGGGCTGCGGGACGGGCTGGAAAAGGGAAAAATAACTTCTGGGAGGCTGTGAGCTGCCACAAGCCATGGTCTGGGCTCACCCTGCCTCTCCCTTGCATGGCTCTGTAGCTGTCAAGCTGAATTTGCAGCGTGGCAGAACTTCAGAGCCTCTGTCATTAGTGTCATCTGCAGTGCACTTCCCCCTGGCTCTGTAGGTAAGAACAGGAAAAAAAAATTAAAAAATCAAGTTTGCATTCACATAACTTTGCAAATGACACCAAGTTAGGACGGGGTTGCTGATACTTGTGGAAAGGGAATTGGAGTCAAATACTGGCCTGATAAAATAGGAAATTATCTCAAGTAACTGCAAGGCAAGTCAATAAGCAGACAGATAATTTCTCTTTTCTGAGCATATTATTTTAAGTGAAGAAATCCAAACTGTGAAATGACTGTCACAGAAAAGTCAATGTATTGATAAATGAATATGAAAATTGGTCACTGAAATAATGGTAAAAAAAAAATCTTCTATTTGCTGCAAAAGAAGGAAGTTAGTGCGTGTTTTGAGGGAGAACAAAGCTGTCTTAATTCCAAGTTCTGACAAACGTAGTATTATCTTAAGTTCTAGAATGGTTGCTTTTAAATTAAACCATCCAAATTTTCTTCAATTTAATTGCTTCAAAGTGATTTCATTAGTTCTAGCTATATCAGTTAATTGCTTCAATTTAATGTAAAATTATTCCCAGCAAATGGCTCTCATTAGACGCCAGAGCGCTATCACTAATTGCCAGCAGAGGGCAGGACACGATCAATTTGCCTTGATGGGAGTTACCAAAGGGCTGGTCTATGGGTAAAAACCTCCATCTATTTCCCAGGTGACCTATTTCATTGGAATAACAATAGAAATTGGAGG